TCTGAGGCCATGCTTGCTGCGAATTATCTGTGCTGGGCGGAGCCGGGCAGGTGCAGAGAAACATGGCAACTGGGCATCAAAAGCAGATGCTGCCTGCTGACCAGAAATAGGACCAGCACCGGCAGGGGGTCGAGAAGAAACATTTTGGTAAATTGTTTCCATCATTTTCCTCCTTGGAAGGAAATTGTCTTGCAAATGGCAGAGCCCCACAAGGAGCGAACACGAATCTCAGTGATTGTACGTGGCCTTTTATAACTGTGCATTCTGCTGCTTAATGGATGGCTTTGGAAGCTTAGAAGACTTGGATTTGCTGGTATTCCAGTTTTAAATCCCTCAGTCATTTTAGCTCAAGCATTGTTGCATTTGAATAAATTCTGCCCCGCTTTTCAGATCTCTTTTCCCAGAAGCACTAACGCTTAAGAAGTATTTTCTAAACTTCCTACCATAAGTAAGATTGTTTTTGAAATGAAAAAACATGTTAGTGAAACGATTCACTTTTGTTCTTGTTGAATGTAAAGTGACTTGCGCTTTGTGTATGAGAGCTGTCTCTCTCTTCCCTAGGCTATTACTAACATCGGGAGCAATAAGGAGATTTTTGAAGGCTTAGTGTATCCCATGCCTGGGTAGGCATTTGATACACACCCTTATGTGGGGCGACTGGGTGGCTCAGTCGGTTAAGTGCCCGACTTTGGCTCAGGTCATGGTCTTGCGATTTGTGAATTCAAACCCCATGTGGGGCTCTGTGCTGACAGCTCAGAGCCTGGAGCCTGCTTCAGCTTCTGTGTCTCATTCTCTCTGCCTCTTTCCCCACTCTCACAAAAAAAAAAAAAAAATTCCCTTACTTAATGTTTGTAACTGTTCTCTGAAGTAGATGGTATATTCATGATCATTATAATCATCTTGAGTGAGGAAACTGAGGCTTAGCATGGGGACAAAATAAATAGCAATGGCAGGCATTACCAAAGGCCAGTGGCCTTGCCTGTAGTGCTACACTGCATCAGGTTATTAGAAGAAGTTCAACATGGAAGGGTTGAGGCACCTGGCTGGCTTAGTCGATAGAGCATCTGACTCTTGATCCCACGGTCCTGAGTTTGAGCCCCACGTTGAGTGTGGAGCCTCCTTGGAGGGAAAAATAGTTGGAAGGGTGACTAGAAAACCCTGGCCAAACACCTTGCTTTATGCATCAAAAGACTAAGGCCAGGAGTGGTCTCAGCTCTGCTCCTTGCGAGGCGAGCTTGTTAATTGCAGGGCTAGAACTGGGGTCTCCCAACCCTGGATGACTCCCGGGTTTGCATGCAAGATTTTCTTGTAAAATGCTTTATATCCAGTGACTTAGAAATCAAAACTGTAGGGGTGGGAGGCACCTGGCTGGCTTGCTTGGTCGATGGAGCTTGGAGTTTTGCGTTCCAGCCCCGTTCTGGGCGTGGAGATTACTTAAAAATAAAATCAGTAAAAAAAACAAAAAGCAAAAACAAACCCAAACTCTGGTAAATACTGAAACATAAAGCAATAAGTTGGAGAAAGGCAAGCTGGGAGGTGAGGTATCATGGTTTTTCTAGAAAGTGATAAAATGGGCGGGTATTTCTAGGTGTTGCAACTGCATTCAGTTAGACGCCTTTTGTTCATCACATCTGTTTGTCTCCTCTGTCCTCTCTTCTTCCCATCTCTCACCTTGTTCCTTGGGCTGCCCTTTAACAGCAAAACATCCCATCCCAAAGGCGATGCCTGTGTTTGGGTAATGGTGTCATGTGATTAAAAAAAAAATGTTTCTTGGACCTGCTGAAGCTATCAAAGTAGAATCTCAAAGCAAGCAAGAAAAATCCACATTGGGAATAATAATCCTTAGATACCTGGTGAGATGTGAGAAGTCAATGCAGTTATTTGTGTTTGAGTGTGAAAATGAGTGCCCAAGTGTCCTGTGTTATTTTTTCCATGTTTAGTATTGCTGTCCAATGTATCTTATTTCGTTATTAGTTTTTAGTTTATTTATTTATTTTTAAAATAATCTCTGCAGCCAATGTGGGGCTCAAACTCATGACTCTGAGATCAAGAGTCACATGCTCTACTGTTAGGGCCATCCAGGTGCCCCATTCAATGGATTTTCAATTTATTTTTAGTTGCCAACTGGCTTTGTTGTCTTCTACTTGCAGCCATCAAGGTAGCTGCTGTATTTTAGAGCACCCGACGCATCTTTAGATCTGATTATAGTTTATGCTCAGAGTCTGGTCAAGGCACCTGATTCACTGGCATATTCTCCATTCCGTGGAGAAGACACGCTGAAGCCCAACGTCAAGGGCTGGGGTGGCTGCACGCTGCTGCTGGAAACGCATGTCAGGTGTCCCAGGCCTTGGCCCTTCCTTCTCAGGACAGGGTGGCTGGAACCAGCCAAGAACATCAACGTGCAGTCCCCTGAGCACAGCCTGGCTCTCCTGCCCCGGAGGAGGAGGGGCTCCCTGCAGACCCCACGCACCTGGACATGAACAGCAGTGGCGATTTCATCTGCAAAACAGGAAAGCCTTATATAGCAAAACCTCAGCTAACAAGAAGCCAACGAATCCAGGCCTCTCATTCACTCTTATAACCAGCTTATAACTCTTATAACCAGCTCATTAGGCTTCTCAAATAATTGTACTTTGCGTTCCTGCTGCTAAAAAAAATCCAAAAAAACTCAAAAACCAAAAAACCAAGAAAACCCCTAAAACCCATATCTCACTTTGTATACACTTTCAGAAAGTACAAGAGATTTTCTGATACACAGTTCTGTACAGTATTTACCCCCACCCAGCTTGACCTGACCATTGTTATTATTAATACACCTTTACCTTAATCACATTCTTGACTTTTATCCTGCATTTGCATATGATGCATTTTTATAAATGGCTTCAAATTCCCTTTGAAACAAAACTACAAAGAAGTAATCATTAAAAATGCATTTCTGCTAAATATAGCCTCCTCAAAAGGTCCACAAAACATTGTTCCTTGCTTCCTGACTGCTAATGACCTCCATCTCCACATGCAACCTTGTATAGCGCTTCTATTGGCCTTGCCTGAGCCTGAAACCCAGCTCTGTGTTGCCAAGAATGTTTCCTCTTCACCTCTGGCTCAGGCTCACTCAGCCACTGCCTCTGCTTGGAAGGCTTGGGGAGAGCTCCGGTTTTCTTTTACTGCTGTATCTTCTAAATATTTTGTTTTTTATTTTTATGTATTTATTTATGTATTTATTTTATTTTTAAGAGAGAGAGACAGGCAAACAGAGTGCGAGCGGGGGAGGGGCAGGGAGAGAGGGGGACACAGAATCCCAAGCAGGCTCCAGGCTCCGAGCTGTCAGCATAGAGCCTGACGCGGGGCTTGAACTCTCGAGGAGTGAGATCATGACCTGAGCTGAAGTCGGACCCTCAACTGATTGAGCCACCCAGGTACATCCTGAATATTTTGAAACTCTTCCTGTTTCTTCATTTTCTCTGGTGCTAATTCTGGTCAGTTCTTTTTTATTTCTCTCTCAGACAAATGCAATAGTTTCTTTTTAAAATTTAAGTTGTATTTTTTTAAGTTGTCCAATTCGGTGGTTTTTAGGATATTCACAGAGTTGTGGACCATCACCACTATCAAATTCCATAACATTGTTGTCACACCCCCCCCCCCCCCCCCCCCCCCATCTCTCCCTTCCCTCAGCCCCTGGCAATCAGTAATCTACTTTCGGCCCCTAGAGATATTCCTATTCTGGGCACTCCATGTAAATGTCATCATACAACATATGGTCTTTTGTCAGTAGCTTCTTACACTTAGCATGATGTTTCCAGGGTTCATCCATATCAGCCCTTCATTCCTTTTTATGGCTGAATAATATTCCCTGGTATGGATAAAACACATTTGTTTATACATTCAGTTGCCAGACCGTTGGGAATAGTTTCTTTACTAACAAATTATCCTGCCTCATTGTTTCCCTCATGCCAGTGTATAATCTATACTATGTCCATAATCATCTGCTTAAACAGTTCTGATCACAGCACCCTGTAATCAGAAACCTGTGGGGACACCTGGGTGGCTCAGTTGGTGAAGCTTCCAACTCTCTCTCTTTTTTTTTTTTTTTTTACAAATAGTTTATTGTCAAATTAGTTTCCACATAACACCCAGTGCTCATCCCCACGAGTGCCCTCCTCCATGCCCATCCCCCCTCCCCTACATCCATCATCCAACTCTTGATCTCTCTTCAGATCATGATCTCAGGGTTTGCGAGATAGAGCCCCAGGTTGGGCTCTGTGCTGACAGGGTAGAACTTGCTTGGGATTCTCTCTCTCTGCAACCCCTCCCTCAATAAATGTAAAAAAAAAAAAAAGAAAGAAAAGAAACCTGTGTGAGCTCCCCAATGGCTCACATGCAAAATAAATCCTTACCTTGCCTTTCTGTTTTAGTCATTGTCTCTTATTTTCTTTCCACAAATGCCCCATATGGATGGACCCCTCTGACTCTACAAATGGTGAACTCCTATGAGCTTTGAAGCCTTCTTCCTCAGCACTTTGGACATTTTCCTTCATTAAAATACTTAGGATTCTGTATGGCAACTATTTCTCCCCTAACTGTCATTCCTACCTATCGTGGGAGCCCTGTGAGGAAAATGCCGGTTTCTTATTCCCCTCGTTGGTGCTTTCATGTAACTAACTCAGAGTAGACACATCATCGGTGATTATTTAATGCGTGTGTGTACCTTGTTTAATCTTGACTTTAAAACTTCTATGGAGTAGCTTAATATGCGGGGTGCTCAATTTTTCCATTGGGAAAATGAAGTCAGTCACTTTGTGACTGTCACCCTAGGAAAGAAAGCAGAAGGGAACGATTTCATGCTCTGACTACTGCCCCTCCCCCACCCCCCAGCCTTCCCGAAGATAACGTGCTTTTACATGAATTATCTTCTTCTGATCTCACATTGTTCCTGTATCTGGCAACTGTTGTTCTTCTCGTTTAAAAACAATTTGGAAGCGAGACCAGGGAGGCTTCAATGGCTTGCCTGTTGGAGATCACACATCTAGAATTAAGGACCCTGCTTCTGCCTTTCTCTGTACTCTCCAGGACACTTCCCTAAGGAAGAAAGAGATCCTCCAGGAAGAACAGAAACTCTGGACTTGGTAATTTCATGACTGAGGGGAATGGTACTGAATAAAGCATAGTTTTGGGTGAGTCATGTTTGCATAAAACGTGTGTCTTTATAGATGTGTTCCCTTTGCATGTGTGACTCAAGGAAAAGAAAGCAGAGCGAGACTTTTGCATCCCAGCAGCAGGCTGTGTGTGCTGTGGGGGAAGACAGAGCAATGTGGCTGCCAGAGCTTTCCATTCCCTCCAGAACAATGGACTCCAAACCTGTGAGCAGAGAGGCCATGACGTCCAGCTTTGGGCCTCAGGGCTTCAAACAACAGAGAACAGAAGACGGTATTTAGATAGATTCAGGACCATCATTAAGAATTTCAAGACAGAGGGGCGCCTGGGTGGCTTAGTCGGTTAAGCATCCGACTTTCGCTTAGGTCATGATCTCGCGGTTCGTGGGTTCGAGCCCCGCGTCGGGCTCGGTGCTGACTACCAGCTCGGAGCCTGGAGCCTGTTTGTCTGTGACTCCCTCTCTCTCTGACCCTCCCCTGCTCACGCTATTTCTCTCTCTCCTAGAAATAGATAAAAATATTTAAAAAAAAAAAAAAAAGAATTTCAAGACAGTGGCAGCAAGAGCATTAAGTGGATCAAGGGGTCCTTCTGAGAAGGGCATGGGGGGCCCTGGGCAGGTCGTAGTCCTGTGAAACTGGCCCTGGGCAGACTTGCTTATCCAGGTATACATTTGTTCTCAGAATCATGTAGAAAACAGCAAGCGCATATATACTGTGAAGGAATGTGGACCCCAAATATGTTACCTTAAAATTTTCTTTCCTATAATGTAGCTTATATCCTAAAACTCGTACTTTCTAGGTGCCAGACATGGTTCTAAGAGCTTTGCAAATACTGACTCCTACTTTTTGTCTTGAAAACTCTATGTGGTAGGTAGCCTCTTCCTAGATGAGGGAGGCTTCAGGTAAATTGCCCCATATTCTACAGAACTCAGCCGGCCCGAGTCTGCTTCTGACCACTGTAGTTGCGGCCTCGTGAATAAAAACAAGACGTGCTTTCTTCACTGCATGATTGCACCAACATGTCTTGGAAAATGTGAGTGTTGAAGGGTATCTTGTGGTTTTCGTCTTAAAGGAGAGAAAACTGGATTCATTGCGGGATTTTGTACAGAACTCCATGAATCCTTCCTGCTGTCACAACCCAGCCCGCCTACCGATGTTCCTTCTCCGAACGTTCTACACATCTGAGGAACAGGCTAGCGTACAAACTAGCATCAAAGGAACAACAAATCACGAATTAACGACCCCTGCCTCTGTTCCAATAACGAGGTAGCTTTCAAGAAAAGCAGATAAGTTCCTAAACAAACAAACAAACAAACAAACAGCACTTCCTGTAGCTCCAGGAAATACCCCTCTACTCATCCTTCAGGAAAACAAGGAGCATTTTGAACATAAAGGGAAGGTTAAGTGAGATTTTGTGCTATGAAGAAGAGTCCGGTATAAACTAAAGTTTACAAAGCATTTCATTCAAAGTGTTCAAAATACATACGGAGTGGTGGTATGTGTGTAGTAAACTTTCATTATCTGGAAGCTTCATAGATTCATCCCTGTTTACCTTCCACGAGATGCTGGCTACCTCTATTGCTTCTGTATTTTACTTAACTCTGTGTGTGGTTTAGCTTCCTGACTGGGAATTAGGATTGTGGATTTGAGCCCTGCTGACAATAAGACGGCAATCTCATTTTCTTTCTTTCTCTTTCTTTCTTTCTTTCTTTCTTTCTTTCTTTCTTTCTTTCTTTCTTTCATTCTCTCTCTCTCTCTCTCTCTCTCTCTCTCTCTCTCTCTCTCTCTTCCTTCCTTCCTACCTTCCCTCCTTCCTTCCCTCCTTCCAGGGGGGATTTTATTTTTAAGTAAAGGTTACTTAAAAATAAACATGGGACTCGAACTCACAACCTGAAGTTGCCCCAAGACAGTAGTTTTTCACCGAGTTTGAGTTGATCTAAACTAAATTATATAAAAATATTGAAGAATATTAAAGAAAATAATCTCACTATATAAAGATACATTTAAAATATGTTTTCCTGGGGCTCCTGGCTGGCTCAGTCCATACAGCATGAGACTTTTGCTCTTGGGGTCGTGAGTTTGAGTCTCATGTTGGGTGTAGAGTTTACTTGAAAAAATGTTTTTCCTAAAAAGTAGCTACTTCAAAGCTGTCAAAAGTCTCCTGAAGGAAACTGAAAGCAGAGAAGAACCCTCTGGCATCCGTCATGCACTGTTCCTCAGGCGACCTTGGGTTTGTCTCCCACGTTGTGTTGCATTTGTGGAAGGCAAAACCCTTACCACAAGAAGAACATTTTATTTTATGTTATGTTATTAAAATATTTTTAAATATTTATTTGCTTTTGAGATAAAGACAGAGAGTGAGCAGGGGAGAGGCAGAGAAAGAGGGAGACACAGAATTCAAAGCAGGCTTCAGGTTGTAAGCTATCAGCAGAAAAGACAATGCGGGGCTTGAACTCACGAAGTACGAGATCATGACCTGAACTGAGATCGGACGCTTAATCCACTGAGCCACCCGGCGCCCTAAGGTAAACATTTTAAACATGCCGGAGATTTCGCTGTTAGTCTGTCACCTTACACTGGTTTATGGTAAATGGTTTCTGGCTGCATTGACTCATTTTCCAACCTCGCATCTCCTTTCCCTTCTCTCCCTCCTTCTCTCTGTGCGCAGGGCCTCTGTCTATATAATGCTCTCATCAGAACTGCATTTTGCAAAACATTCTTTTCCAATAACAACTTTAAAAAGATGTAAACCCACTTATCCACAGACTCATGAGAACCTCTAATCCAATCCATCCTGCGTTTGTAGGGCTTCGCCAAGGTGTCAGGAAAGTAGGCCAAGGGTTGCTTCATCTTGGACCCATTCTGTTTCATCCCTTGACTTGACGGACTTGTTGCAGGGAAGTAGACTGATCCTTGGGGACAATACCACTTTCTTTCTTCTTCTTTCTGTAATTGGAAAAGTTAAAAAGAAAGAAAACAACAGAATGTAACATAACAAACATTACCACACACAAGAAGGTACCAAACTTTTGTCAAAACTAAATAAATGTTAGTGATAAAGCTGAAGCCCCCTTGAACTCTTCCTTGGTCTTCTTTCCCTTGATTTCTCCCCAGAGGCCACTACCATGATGATGTGGGCATGGTATCATGTCAGCCCATGCTTTTATTTCATCTACAAACATGTATTCTTTATAAATAGCACATAGATATTGCTTATATATGTTTATGAATTTACAAACACTGTATTACAATCTTGCTGTGCTCAGAATGAGCTACCTTGTTCTCAGGATGAGACAGGATGAAATTTCCTTAACTTATGCCCTCTACTTCAGAAGTGATTTCCTGGAACAGTATTAATTTCTGGAATAATCTGAGCAGTAAATCTTTACTACAAAGAAGAATTCTTGAGGTGAAAACTCTTTTGACTTTGTGAGTATGAACTAATGCTAGAAAATGAAACTTGGAGTTATCTCCTACCCAAACTCTACAAACTTGAAGAAACATTTCTCTTAGAACATTTCTGACATTAGATTTTTCTGGAAAATGGATTTTTTTCTGTAGCTGTCATAGTCATTAGGTTGTCACATAAATACTTGCTATATTTGCAGTCAAATACTCTACCACTGAGCTCTATCTCCTATACTTGCTATATTTTAAATCCCTGAATAAAAGATGTTATCGAAGCCACAATTTTGCCTATCCAAATGTATATTTTTCATGTTAGTGTGACATGTTCCGAAATAAAGTTTAAAATCCAAAATAGTCATAGTATTTATAAATTTGTCTTTTTTCTACATGGAAAAATTTAATGATTGTCAGAAATAAACAGAGGAGTTAAAAATTCTTCAGAGGTATATAGTTCTCTACTTCAGTCTTAGAGAGGACTCTGATAGTACTATGAAAAACAGCAGAGTATCTTAACATTTTAGACTAAAGCTAACTCAAATGAGTTGGCCTCAGTGAAAGCTGGCATGTTAATAAATCTAGTAGTCTAGTGCCACCTTGTGACTGATATTCTCAACTACACCCATCGTGTTCGATTTTAGAGAGGAAGAATTTCATTTCTTTAAAAGGTTCATTCATTCATTCATTCATTTAGTTTCCAACGTCACTAGTAATTGGATCGACAGTGTCTGCTGGTAGGGAGGTGAGATGGCCCAGCTTTCCTGGGACCAGCAGACCTTCCAGGACACAAGACTCTGAGGTTTAAAACCAGGGCAGTCGGTAAACTGGCACTAGTTTGTCCCCTACCTACTACTAAGTACAAAGCACTGTCTGGGCACTTGGGAGACAGTGATCAGATAGGCAAGGTCACTCTTCATGGAATGCATGTTACTTGGAGGGACACAGATAATATATAACCATGTGAAAGATAGCCGGCTGTAAGTTTTGCAAGTAACTGAAATAGGTTGATGTAATGGTGACTTGGTGGCTCTCTTAGGTTGAGTGCTTGGTGACAGCGGAGGTGATGTTTCACTAAGAGCTGAATGACATGCAGGAGCGGGTCATATAAAGATGGGAAGAAGAACATTCTGGGCAAAGAAAAAAGCTAGAACAGAACCCCTAGGTCAGAGATAAACTTGGTGTGTTTAGGGAAACCAAAGACATCAATGTGACTTGAATTTAGTGGGTATATTCATTTCCCAGCATTCTTGTCACAAATTACTGGAAACTGGGCAGCTTAAAACAACAGAAATTAATTGTCTCTCGGTTCTGGAGGCCAGTGGTCTAAAGTCTACCTGTCAGTCAAGCTCTATTCCTTTTGAGGGCTTTAGGGGAAGATTCCCCCTTGGCTCTTTCTAACTTCTGGTGGTCACCAGAAGTCCTTGGTGGTCCTCGGCTGGTAGATCTAACACTCGCATCTCTGGCGCATCTTCATGTGGTCCTCTCTTCATGTCTCCAACTTTAGGGGATCTTTCCCTTTTCTTGTAAGGACATTAGTCACTGGGTTAGGGCCTTCTGTGATGACATCATATGTTGATGACATCCTCAAAGGTCCTATTTCTGAATAAGTTTACTTTTATAGGAAGGAGGGGGAGATTAGAGGTTTAGCATAGTTTTGGGAGGACACAGATCTAGCCACTGCAGTGGACAATGCTAGAAGCGATGGAAGAGGAGAACCCAGAGGTAGGCAGGGCCCAGATCATGCAAGGATTTATAAGGTAAGAAATAAAACTTTTGTGATTCTTAAGGAGCAGAGAGTTATGATATCCCAGCCACTTCAAAGGAAGATTACCATTGTGGGGACACAGGCCAAAGAAGGGTATGTATGTAGAGAAAGGGATTAGGAGATGGTTGACGTGCCTTGGGTTATAGCAGCGATGGTGAAGATGGAGAAAAATCAGATGGGGTTGGGATATGTTTTCGAGATAGAACTGATAGATTTCCTGATGGACTGGATGCTGATATGATACAAGATCAAGGGAAACTGCTAGAGTTTTGACTTGAACAACCTGGTGGCTATTTTTGCTATTTCCTGGGCTGAGGAAATCTGGGGAACAAATGGGTGTAGGGAGGAAGATGAAGAGTTTCATCTTTGCAGTGGGAAGACAGAAGAATAGCACAACATTTCCAGACTCCGAGTGACATGGGGTGTGTGAGAAGAGAGAACTCCAGTTTTCTCCAGAGGGAGATGGGGGCAGAGGAAGAGATGTTTTTATGAAACACCCAGGTTCTAAATGGGACATGAAAGAAAAAGAAGACGGCCCAGAGAAGAATGTGAGAGGAGAAAGGGAGTTTCCGATGATACACTGTGAGTTTCACAGAAGGCCCTGGCTGGTTTGGGAGGGTGCAGAGGAAGTGAAATTGAGTCACCTTAGTGCATGTGCCTGGTAGTTTGGAGATGATGGCTGACGTGTGGAGCATGGGCAGCTGTTGGTGACTGAGGTGACGTGTTCATAAAGCCTGGAGGGATTTGTATGATGAACTCGGAAGCGAAGTATGATTTAATTTATCTGGTTAAAGAGCCACCGAGGAATTGTTCTATCTTGCAGTTCACAGGGAGCATGGTGGAGGAGGTGAGAATCAACCACTTCTCACCGATGCCTTCTCCGGAGGCAAGGAATACGAGGCTCCTTGCCAGCTGGTGGGGGTCTGGCTTTATTGGAGGCAGGACACTAGGCACCTTGTGTTTTCTTGATGGCCCACGCGAAGCCTGATGCAGCTTCTGCTCATGTGCCCAGTAATCATGGTACAGGATTATGAGTTGCTCTGTTTACAGCTACAATTTGGAATCCATATGCTGAATATGAAAGCTTCCATCTGCTGGCACAAAAACTGAACACTCTCAGTGTCTTTCAACTACACCCAAGCTGATTTATTTTTTTTATCATTGTTTCTTATCTGATGAAAGGCAATACAAGACAAAGATATAAGATGAGAATTACTTCACAATCAAATTGTAGATTAAAAAAAACATGGATCTAAGCTCATATGAATGCATATTTATTTTCCTTTCGTAGGTATATACATGGTCTTATGTTTAGGCGTCCAGGCTTCCAGGCTTCTACGATCCTAGAAACTCAATGATAAAATGATGCTTAAAGGAGGAGAAAGAAGAAGAAAAGAAAGCGGGAATGTATATTTCTTTCTATTTATTTAAAAAAAAATTTTTTTCTTTAAAATTTTTTTCTTAACATTTATTTACTATGGAGAGACAGAGAGAGACAGAGCATGAGTGGGGGAGGGGCAGAGAGAGAGGGAGACACAGAATCTGAAGCAGTCTCCAGGCTCTGAGCTGTCAGCACAGAGCCTGACATGGGGCTCAAATTTACAAACCATGAGATCATGACCTGAGCCAACGTCAGACACTTAACCGACTGAGTCACTCAGGCACCCCATCTTTCTATTTATTTTTATTTTCCAGTTTAAACGGTTACTTTAGAGGCTGAAGGCCCCACAGGACTGGTGCAACATGTCATCTAGCATGTTCTAGGCCCTGAGTAGGTCCATCTGTCCCCGAGACGAGAAGCGAAACTGGTTTCTCTTTTCAGCCCCTCATTTCTAGAAAGACCTACATAGACCTTTCCTTTTCTAATACCTCCAGAATGTGTTATCAACCACCAAAAGGGTATCGGGAAGGTGAACTGCTTGGGCTATAGGTAGTTTCTTTCTCGTGGTCCGGAATCAGTCTGTGATGTGCTGTAACCAAGAAGTCCTCTTTGGGTAAAACGAGCTTTGTTTTATTTTAAACTTAACATATTTTGACTAGCTGTTTATTTTATAATTTAGAAACACTAGAATTCATTCTCTTTGGTGTACAGATTCATGGATTTTGGCGAATGTATAGAGTTATGTAACCACGACTACAATCAAGGTATGGAACAATTCCATTACCCTCCCCCCCCCCATAATTCTGTCATGCTGACCCTTTTACATGTAATCGTTTAAAGTAAATTACATTTTTATTTATTCTCAGGCACTTTAACTCTATCAATTGGTTGGATCTTAATTTTTTTTTACATTTTGGAAAGATGAACCATTTACTCTTTATGATGCCAGCACCATGAAGCAAATATCCCCTTAATGGGACAGCAGGTGTTTTCTGTGTCCAGCAGAATCAAGATTGCCCTTTGGTTTCACGCCCCACTGACAGCCAGAGGAGCTCAGTTCTCTTTACGATTCCTCCACGCTTCCTCATAAAACAGTCATTGGTTTCCTCACCATTTTTACTGTTTTTTTTTTTTTTTTTTTACATGTGTCCAAGCAACTCTTAAAACATGGTGTCCAGGATTCAATACAGTGCCCCAGAGATCGTCATTGCATGCCATGGGCCTGGCCAGCACACACTTTCTTCCTTCTAGACTCTAAAACTATGGTGGTATTTTTGTTTTCTCCACCATAATCTATTGTTTACTGACAATGAGTATCTGGTCAATTAAATTTAAAAAAATTAAGACATGGCTGCTAATTCATTTAGTTCTCATTCTGTAAATGTGGCACTGGGATTTTTACATTCAGGTAAAGACTTTTATATTCATCTTTATTAATATTTTTAAAGTATTTAGTTGTTTGTTTGTTTACTTACTTATTTATTTACCTAATCTCCATACCCAACATGGGGCTTGAACTCACCACCCTGAGATCAAAAGTGGCATGCTTCTCCACTGAGCCAGCCAAATGCCCTATATCTTTATTCATATTTTCAGTGTGAAGTCCAAGTTTCAGTGTGAAGTCCAAGTTTCAGCCTGTGAAGATGGGTCAAGATCTTCTTTTGGTGACGTTACGCATATGCTCTCCTTGCTCAATTTTCCATTAAGATGGAGGACGGTTAGACATTTCTCACTCATTGTCTTGTCAGCCTCACATCCTCTCTCTCTCTTTCTTTTCCTTCCTTCCTTCTTTCTTTTCTTTTCTTTTTCCTTTCCTTTCCTCTTTTCTTTTCTTTTCGAGATTAGTGGGATTTTTCCCAGAGAAAGAATCAAATTCTTTCCTTCTTTCTTTATTTTTTAAAAAATGTTTTATTTACTTTTGAAAGAGAGATAGAGAGAGCATGAGCAGGGGAGGGTCAGAAAGAGAGAGGGAGACACAGAATCTGAAGCAGCTTCCAGGCTTTGAGCTGTCAGCACAGAGCCCGACGTGGGGCTCGAACCCATGAACCCATGAACTGTGGGATCATGACCTGAGCCAAAGTCGGACGCTTAACCGACTGAGCCACCCAGGCGCCCCTCATTCTTTATTTTTTTAAGGGG